TCTGAATGGCCAGGGGAGCCATAGTAAGAACATACGAAGTCTGGCCCTCCCCTCCCAGCCCGGCCCGGGAGAGCGCCCCCAGGAGAGAGACCGAGTGAAGGCAGAGGTCAGCCGGGATAGAAGAGCCCTTCCCCTTCCATGGGCACTTTACGGTCCTCAAGCCTGACGATGTTTCTTAACTGATGACCTTCTGGCTGGGTTATTCCAGAGAAGACCCCTGAACTAGGAGGGAAAGGGGCGGGGGAAGCGTGGGAAACCCACCCCGGCAGAAGGATGGCAGAGAGGTCGTGTTGAGCGTTTGAGAAAATCTTAAGAAATCATACATTCCCAAGTAAAACCCAGTCACCTCACTAAACAAGCCTTACACTATTTTATGGCATATGTAGGCAAATCCGATTAGTAAAGAGAAAAACTACTGCCTGATGAGTTACAATACTTGGTGGACAAAATCTTCGAAAATCTAGATGCAGGATAAAGTCCCTGAAATCTCTCCTCAGTCTCTCTCGGTATTTGAGAGACTACTCTGTATCCATCCCTGTGATAGCCCTATCAAGAGGGGATGTGCCAGCCCTTAAAGAACTCGCTTAAATCCAGGTATTTAAATGTAGTGTAAATATAGTGATCTAGCTCCCAGTTTTTTCTACTTTCAGATCTTCCTTGTACATATCACTGAGTTTATTTATTTTTTTAAGATTTTATTTACTTGACAGGGAGAGAGAGAGAAGAGAGCAAGCACGAGCGCACAAGCAGGGGGAATGGCCGGGAGAGGGAGAAGCAAATTCCCTGCCAAGCAGGGATCCCTATGCGGAGCTCAATCCCAGAACTCTGGGATCATGACCTGAGCCAAAGGCAGACCCTCAACTGACTGAGCCACCCAGGAGCCCTGATATCGCTGAGTTTAGTGCACTTGACTAGGTCTGCTACCCAAGAAAACTAATCACAATCAGAATCTTAACCTGCAGTCCACCTGAAGATATGCTATGGGTAGAGGGGTAACAAAATCCTTTCCTCTTTCCCATGAGGAATTGACCTGGGGTTACTACATAATTAAAACAATTTTAGGGGGGGAAAAGGACAAACAGTGGCAGCAAGAGTATGTCACCCCTTGTCCTAAGAATCAAGACTCCACTGGAGCGCCTGGCTGGCTCAGTTGGTGGAGCATGTGACTCTTGATCTCAGAGTTGTGAGTCTGAACCCCATGTTGGGTGTAGAGATTACTTAAAAATAAAATCTTAAAAAAAAGAAGGAATTAAGACTCCAACAAACTTGGTTTGAGGCTCTTCCATTTCTCCCCTTTAGAGGGTGTGGCATATGAGGCACAGAAGGACCAGCCCCTGTAAGAGAATCAATCTTGATCAAGATTAAGAGGTCCCTGTGCTGAAAGACCCCTGTGGTAGGCCAGGTTACATTCTCCATGGTTTCTACAAGTCATCTAATGAAGAAGGTATATTCTCAGGAATTCTCTGGAAACAGATTTAGTTAGCTGATTGGGTTTTCCTCTGGGTAAATCATCACTTTAATTAAAAAACCAATTATCCTTGGGTGTCTCTCACATACTTCTTCCTTCCTGATTTTTTGGTGAATGTCCTTCATCTTAATGCCAATTCAGAATCTTCCCTTTTTTTCAAACTTGGTTCCAACTTTGTTTCTGGAAAATTCTGATCTTAAACCCTGTCTTTTGTGGATCTGTTGTTTTGCACTCCCAAATGATGTAATGAGTCAACACTGTACTTGATTGTTACTCACATATGCTGTCCTCTCACTTTTAACCAGATCCTAAGCTATTGGTGGGCAAGGACTCCCTCACCACACACATACAGAGCACACAGAAGAGTCTCCAGAGAAAATGGCTGGGCTACAGAAGACTGTGGTACTTACCTAGTGATGCTAGGAAATCCAACCTCATTATTCTTGCTTCTCAACCCTGCTTGAGGACATTCTTCATTCTCTTTAAGAACCCGAAAAATCAGAAACCTCTCCCAGCTGATGAGAACAAATCATGGTATTTCTGTGGCGGACTCTAGTGACATGGCCTACGAGATTCATAAAAGCAAATGATGTCTGTGATTCCCAAAGGAGGGAATGAACACCTTCCCTACGGATTGATGCTCTTAGCCAGTGTAGCTCTTTTATGTTCTTTCTGAAGACAATAGCCAACTTTGGTTTTCCTGTACGATCTTTTTTTTTTTTTTTTTAAGATTTTATTTGGGACACCAGGGTGGCTCAGTCGGTTAAGTGTCTGCCTTCAGCGCAGGTCATGATCCCGGGGTCCTGGGATCAAGTACAGCATCAGGCTCCTTGCTCAGCAGGGAGCAAAAAAAAAAAAAAAAAAAAAAAGATTTTATTTATTTGAGAGAGAGAAAGCACGAGCAGGGGGAGGAGGGGCAGAGGGAGAGGGAGAAGCAGACTCCCCACTGAGCAGGGAGCCCAACACGGGGCTGGATCCCAAGACCCTAAGACCATGACCTGAGCCAAAGGCAGACACTTAACTGACTGAGCCACCTAGGTGCCCGCCCACCATCTTATTTTTTTTTCACCATCTTATTTCTGATCAGTAATTCCCAATATTTTATATGCTATTCACTGTTAGAAACAAAAGGTTTGCCGAGTTTTAGGAAACTGACAGGACTATCAATACATGTAATGTTGCTTTTTTCCATTGATGTGACCTACATAATTTTTTTTGGTTTTGCTTTTTTTTTTAAGTAGGCTCCACACCCAACCTGGGGCTTGAACTCACAGCCCTGAGATCCAGAGTTGCATGCTCTACCAACTGAGCCAGCCAGCTGCCCCCATAATTTTGAAAAGATAATCCTCCAGTACATAAAATATCTGCATTGTACTACAACATACACGTTCCATAAGTTCTTTTTTTGACAGCTTTTACATCAACTGATTTTTTTAGAAAAAAATATTTTCAGAAACTAAGTATTAAGAATAGTTGTTTTGAGACTTTCAAAACATGATCCGTGTTTTGCTCTGATCCATACCACTCCCACTATGAGTAACAGACACAATGCGTTTGTATTTAACTGTTTCCTGCTAAAGGTTCAACAGTTCTCAAAGTTACACATTATAATACTTCCATGTAAGAAAATTAGCACAGCTGGATTCATGCAGTCTTTATTAATTTGACAAGACAGGAAAATCTGCAATCATCTATCAAAATTATATCTTACCAAGAATTCAAAAGGTATTTAAAAAAGATGTAGTCACAGTCTGTCTGAATCATGTACAAAGCAGTGTCTGTAGAAGCAAAAGCCAGACGCCAAGCATGTAAATGATCCCGCTGAAACCTGCAGCCAGCACCTCCCCATCCCACCGTAAACAATCCTGCACTCACTACTTTCTACAGTTGATTTTGAAGCTGCCCTTTTACAAAGGAAAATTGCTTCCGGGGAAATCCTTCCTGCTCCGCACCTGGGCTGAAGTGCCAACACCAGCTCCAGGGCCCAGGGTGGACCCCGCTACTTCCTCAGGGCAATGTGGCAGCTGACCAAGGCCCCAGAAAACAGTCCGAGAAAAGGGTTCATTTCAGCACTTAGCTGGTTTTTAATACGTGCATCTGAGGTTTTTCCTATCACAGAGGGCTGTTCAGAGGATGGCATCCAAATGATTCAGGAGGTGAGCGTGATGACAGCGTGGTTAGGAACACTCTGCTCAGCAACTTCACCGAGGGCTGTGAAGAGCTGAAACCACTGTTTTTAATCTCCTGTGTTTGGGGGATTTTAAAGAGAAGCAAGAAGATCACAAGGATCACTTCGGGGCTCAAACTCATGATGATGATATCGTTTCATCCCAGGGCAAGACCAAATGTCCGGTTTTCAAGTACCACCCACCCCCGCCCCGAGTCACCTTTGTGGTTCCCCCAGAGGTAAGGTTCTAGAACGGCAGGTCAGACTGTTATAGACCATCCAAAAGCAAGTAGAGAAAAAGGAGTACTTTACTGAAAGGAGTAGTTCCTGGGAGAATCAAGTCACCTTTATAACATCAAAGGGTAACCATGAAAAGGGGTTACTGACAAGTACCTGATATTTTAGAGAAGTTAAAGACGGCATCTATCAGCAAACAGGAAACTATAGCTGCATTCTGAGGATATGTCTTATTCATCTTCGCATCTTTAGACTCCAGCACCATGCCAGGAACATTGAAGATGCTGAATAAATCTCTTCATAGTGGTTTCTGGGCTAGATCGTGAATGGGTGAATATGCAAGGCCAGTCCCTGGGGGTCAGGACCAGAGACTTGCTTGAGACGCAGGTGGAAGATCTTATGTGGGAGCTTAACTTTTGTCTCACATTCTACAAATTATGACCAAGACTACTATATAAATTTTGAGGCCAAGTAAAGACAAGCACTAAGCTTACTGCATAGACATCGGTCATGGAAGGAGAGTTTTTAAAATCAAGGGACTTTAAAAACTGGGGATCCAGGAGTTTAAAAGTGAGGGAAGACTACCTCTCTAGCTGTTGCTTCTGCAGTGAAGTCAATAAATCATTCACTTACGGTTTTCTTCCAAGTTGCTTAGAAAGCTTTGTTCTCATCAAGAAATTTAATCATTTACAGTAAAAGCTGTGATCCCTGGACCACACGCTAACCTAGTGAGAATCAAAAACAGGAAAAGCAAGCTCTTCCTCTTTGAAAAAAAGGCCCACAGATCTTCCAAATATGGTCGGTATGCCCACAGGCTAGTTTGTAGCAACCTTCTGTATTTAAACACTCTGTATTCTGTGAGCCAGTCAGGCTCAGACATCAGTGGCCACTCTTCTTCCTCCTCTTCAGTGGCCCTGCAGCCACCCCTACCCTGGGTGAGGGCACGTCTGCAGCGGACTTGGTACTGTGCTCCCTGTGACAATCCATTTTTATGGTGGAAGACTAGCATTTTGATATTTCAGAAACAACTGAATTGACCCTAAGAAGAAAGTTCCGAGGCAAAAAGTTCTGCATCTGAAACTGGGGGTCTCAGGAAAGAAGAGGAGTTCTCTCCATGCTGAGATGTGGTTCCGTCTTGTAGAAAGTGAGTTTTATTGCAATCTTTCTACACAGGACAGTGATACAAAGGATGGTCTTGGTCACACTCACACCACGTACCCTCTTCTGGGATGAACCTTTCACAAAAGATACGGTACTTCTGGGACCTTTGCACAAATAAACTACTCTAGATCAGGGCTCCCTCAGGCCTGCCTCAAGTTGCAAACACGTTCAGGTGGCTTTGTTGTAGTGGTTGATTCATGTGTCTTTCTAGAAGATAATACCCACATTGCTACATATCTAAGGAAAAAGAGAGAATCTTGGAAAGAAGGGGCTACACAAAGATAGAGATGAGCGAACCTACTACTTTAAGCCCCACTCTTCCTGTGCAGAGCACTTGTTTTTTGTTTTTCCTGCAGTTCTCAACCACCTACTGAGAGCCAGTTTTTACTTACACTCCGGTTATGACCAGCACACTACTGCTAAAGTTAGTTTATAATATTCTGTGACAGAAAACAGATATTCTAAACTCCAAGGAGAACCAGAAACCAGATCACATGATAGGCTGGAGAGAAAGCAGGCACAAGAAGAAAAGCTGGCCTTTCTGTTCAGCCACAAGGAGAGACTAAGTTTCTCACAAATGCTTGCAGTCTGATCACCATGGCTAAGGGCGGTCAGTGGTAGAAGAAGGGTTGTACCCAGCAAAGCTTTGCTTAGAGGAGGCATGTGCCCACAGGCTGATGGCTCTGTTCATGTCCCCACCTGAGCTGCCCTGGGCCTCAGCCCGACAGCCCAGTTCAAAGGTACACTGAAATGAAAGGTAAGGCAGAAGGGAAAGCACAAAACACCCACTGGGAGGTTCTTGAGGAATAACTTGGTTCTCCTCCTTAACATCTGCCCACGGCATGTTAGCTCATTTTGTCCCATTGGCTATTAGAGGCCCCTTCTTTCTCTTCTTGGCAGCTGGTTCTCCTCCTGACCCTAGGTCCTCCCATGCACGGCTCACGGAGTAAAATCATAGCTTTCTCCAAACTCTTACTTTGTACTGACACAACTGACTTTATAAACTACCAGCTTTTGGCTGTTGATTCAAATTCCGACCCACAGTCAGAGACAATGGATTGTAGTAAAAAAAAAAAAGAAAGAAAGAAAGAAAAAAGAAAAACCAGGACAAAAAGTGCTTCACCAGCCATTTTACTCTTCTTTAATTCCACTGTCTTAGGGCACACATTGTATTTGCTACTGAAGAAATTATGACAGCAAGGCTGACAGCACTGATTCATAACACATTCTTTGCACCACACAAAGAGTAAAATTCTAGAGTAACTGGATCATCTGTTACCACAACAGAGCTGTCTCATTTGCTGTATAAGAGAATGCTTACGGGGGAGTCAGGGAGAGACGGGAAGAATGGAAGCATCCAGGGGCACGTGAACCTACAAGTATGTCTAAAAATAAAGAATTTGGTGGAAAATCCAGCACCTAAGGCTGATAGGAAACCATGTGGATACAGTTCCATTCTTTCCAGAAGTTACTGAATTTGGAACCTGAGGTTAAGACTTTTAGGATAAAGCAACCTCAAATCAGTTCAGACTGGCCATGGGAAGAAATGGCAACCGTTGATGGTACTGAGTTTCAGTGCTTGAAAACGAGACTTTTCAAAAATCAACCTATACACCTGACTTGACTCAAGGTGAAAAAAAAAAAAGTCTTATCTAAAAATGGTAAGTCTGCAGCAAAAAGGTCTGAAAGTGAAAGTTGGAGCCCCTTTTCAAAAACCTTTTCATCTTGCTGCTGGTGCCCGCTCTCCTTACAGTACCTCTGGAAAAGGTTCAGAATTCAAGACAGGTTTATTAGGTTGATCTTCAACATGTAGTTTAAGATGAAGAGTCCTGTTTGGTTTAAACCACGCCATTTAATTTCTTGGTAATGGTAGTCCTGAGAGTCTGCAGTGTTGGTAAAATCCACCTGTGACCAAGGGTTACGCTGCTGGTGGGAGCACAGCAACTTCGTGGTCCGTCCCTTCTCCTCAGCCTTGTCCCTCAAATCTGGTAGTTTTTGCACCGAGGGACTCAGTCCATCACAATGACGTATGTCCAAATCATTTTCTGTAGATCCCTCCTTCCAGCGCCCAATGGTACAGGTGGTCAGGAAGACTTGGAAGGAAGCTGCAAAAAGTCCAGCTGGGAATCTTGCCTTTGTTAGATGTGGACACAGGAAAATCATCTTTGTCCTCCCCAGATTTCATTATAGTCAAAGGAGAAAAATCCATGGGATTCTAACTGCAAATATGCTAAATATAAAATTGATGGAATGCTAACTGGTCCATAAAGGGCTGTACAAGATAATCTGTGGCAAAGTAGAAAACCAGCCCAAAAGTGATAGAGATCGGAAGAGCTGGCAATGCTTTCTTGAAAATGGCGAGGAGTAACAATGTAAGGCACAAACCCTGTGGAGAGGAGGGGAAAAGACACCAACTCAGACAAAAGTATGGAAGTATTTCATGTAAAAACAACCCCATCACAAGTCCTGGTCTTAATTTAGTTCACTGAATTGAATACTATCCTTTGAGGTTAAATTTTAGGACACTTTTTAAAATTAAATTTGGAAACATTTATTTTCCTTTGCAGCACAGAGTTCATAATGCACACAGTTGATACTTCACCCCCTAATTCTAGGTAAGAAATAGAACCCAAAAATAAGTAAAACTATTTTAAATAACTGACATTTCTATCTAAAGTATTGAGTCAGCTACTGTGAGTTTAGTTTGGCTGGCTAAAATCCCAGAGGTGAAAAGCATCCTCTGTGTTGTATGGGGGCAAAGAGGTGCTCACAGAATAAGCCAGTAAAAGTTTATGATGCATACATAGGTTTCTCTCACTATCTGAAAGTAGAGTATTCCTATGAAGCCTTTTGTAAGCCAAAATGGCATGAAGTGAAGCGTATCGCCATTTTCTCAGAGTTTGAATTATGCCACTTCACTCTTATGAAAGACCATTAGTATGGGAATGGTTTTTTTTTTTTGTAAAAGCAAAAATCCTCCTTGTATTTCTTTTGGTTAGCAAATAGCTAAGTGAACTTTCAGAAAGTGGAAGAATACCTGTAAACACAGAGCAGTCATATAATATTGTCCTTTTACCCTAGCTATTGAGACAAGGTCTGAAAACTGAGCATCATTTCAGATTTATCCAGAATAAGTAATTTTCTTCTTAAAAGATACCACACATCCAGAAAACTAACCTCAAAAGAAAAATGAAACACATGAAAAATTTTAACTGGTTTTATTATCATGACAAACGACAGATGTCATCATAAAATAAATGCATAAGAGGCTCTCATCTAACTTCACTCACATATACCAAAGACATAGCATCTTTAGCAAAAATACCAATAAGATATATCTTATGACTTACTTATAGTTTTGAAAGCTTCAAGGTTCATGTTGTGACACTAAAAGCAAGATCTATATGGCATCATGCATTGTGTTAGCTTTTCTTGCCTCATACTTGCTGCCCAAGGAGCACCGTCTGCTGCAGGTTGTGGCATTAAAGGCAAAATCACCACCAGACTCAGGGACTATAAGTAAGGATCCAAGTACCCCTTTAAGACTGATCTAACACAGCTAACTTCCTACATATCTATGCTGCCAGGCTTGAACAGCGGTTCCTAATCAGAGGTGCCTATCAGAACTTTCCAGGGAACTTCTTAAAAAAACAAACAAAAAAACCCCCCACACAATTAAAACTTTAAATATCTCAGGGCAGGGGCCCCTGGCTGGCTCAGTCGGAGGAGCATGCAACTCTTGATGTAAGGGTTCTGAGTTCAAACCCCACATTGGGTGTAGAGATTACTTAAATAAAACTTAACAAAACAAAACAAAACAACAAACTCAGGGCAGGGATGCACAGTTCTAAAAGCTCCCAGGTGATTTTAATGGGTGGCCAGGTGGCAACCTATTCAGGTTAAGTTTCAATTTTTTTTTTGAAGCTCTCCAGGTGACTGGCACACTCAGCCCAGCTGGGGTTAAAATGGACCACCTTAAAAGGATGACATAATCAGAGTTTTGAGATGAGGAGCTGGGACATGTTTTCATTAGTGTATACTTACAATTAATATGGCTACAAAACAGGCTATGGTTGTGTTCCAGTCTCCACTGGCTGTTGCAGAAGCTTTACCAACCAGAACACTGTAGAAAATGAAATCTCCTAATCCAAGTTTTACTCCTCCTAAAAAAAGAAAAATTATGAAGTTTGTCACTCTTTGAGATCAACTCAAAAATGTAACTGCCGCAAAAAAAAAAAAAAAAAGAAAAAAAAAGCCACTGCCACATTCCATCCTGTACTGAATGAGAAAACAGTAAATGATACATAAAATTCGGCTTTAGCTAGGTTTTCCTTTTTGGTTCTCTCCAATATGAATTTCGGATTTTATGTAGCGAACTCTGGAGTCTTTAACAGTAGATGCTGTTGTTATATATAAAAAGAACAATAACTGTCCTTACTGAATGCCTTCTTTACATGTGGCACTTGCTCTCATAAATCCTCACAAGAACCCCTATGATAGGTAGAATTTACTTCATAAAACATACCCACTGTAAATGTACAGTTCAATTATTGTAAAAAATTTACAGAGTTGTCCAACCATCACCACAATCCACCACATTTCCACCACCCCAGGCCTTTTGCAACCACTGATCTGTTTTCTCTCTATATGACTCTTCTAGACATTTCAAAGAAATGGACTCATAACAGTATGTAGTCTTTGTGACTCACTTCTTTCACATAATGTATTTTTGAGGTTTATCCATGATATTACGTGTGTCTGTATGGTTTCTTTTTACTGATGAATAGTTTTCCATTGTACAGATATATTTTACCAGTTGATGGACATTTGGCTTGTTTTCAGTTTGGGGCTATTATGAATAATGGTGCTATGAACATTATGCTGTGACCAAGGGTACACATCCCTGTGTGGACACAGTTTCATTTCCAGTGGGTACATTCCTACAAATGGAATTGCTAGGTTATATGGTAAGTTTATCTTTAGTTTTGTAAGAAACTGCCAAATTATTTTCCATACTGGCTCTACCACTCTATATGGCCACCAGCAACACAGGAGCATTCTGGTTCCTTCACATCCTTCACCAACACTTGGTACTGCTAGTCTGTTTGATTATAGCCATTCTGATTAATGATGTTGAGCAACTTTTCATGTGCTTATTAGCTCTTATATTTCTCCTTTGGTGAAATGTTTAGCCAAAGCATTTCCCTATTTTTTATTGGAGTTAACTTTTTTTTTTAATTTTATTTAAATGTGAACCAGAAATGTTTATTGCAGAAATTTGGTCAAAGTCCTCATCAGGTGGCCCCTGTTGAGGTTGGACTGGGGCCCTCTGTTCAGTACTGGGCATATGTAAGTTATCTTCTATTATTGAGTTGTGAGCCATTATTTTTTTAAAGATTTTATTTAGGGGCGCCTGGGTGGCTCAGTTGTTAAGCGTCTGCCTTCGGCTCAGGTCATGATCCCAGGGTCCTGGGATCGAGCCCCGCATCGGGCTTCCTGCTCCGCGGGAAGCCTGCTTCTCCCTCTCCCACTCCCCCTGCTTGTGTTCCCTCTCTCACTGTGTCTCTCTCTGCCAAATAAATAAATAAAATCTTAAAAAAAAAAATAAATAAAGATTTTATTTATTTATTTATTTATTTGAGAGCGTGAGAGTGAGTGAGAGAGCAAACGAGTGAGCGTGAGTGGGGGTGGAGGGGCAGGAGAGGAAGAGGAGAAGCAGACTCCCCACTGAGCAGGGAGCCCAATACGGGGCTCGATCCCAGGACCCTGGGGTCATGACCTAAGTCAAAGGCAGATGCTTAACCGACTGAGCCACCCAGGCGCCCCCGAGCATTCTTTACATATCCTTAACACAAGTTCTTCAACAGGATTTGAAATATGATTTGTAAATATTTTCTTAGTCTGTGTCTTCTCTTCCTTAATAGTATCTTTTCTAAAAAATTTTTAATTGTGGTAAAATATACAATTTGATGGCATTAAGTAAACTGACACTATTGTGCTACCATCCTCATCCTCCATTCACAGAATTCTTTACATCTTGCAAAACTGAAGCTCTGTAGCCATTAAACATAAACTGCTCCTTCTCTCCCTCCAGCCTCTGGCAACCATCATTCTGTTTTCTGTTTCTGAGTTTGACTACTTAAGTACCTCGTATAAGTGGAATCACACAGTATTTGTTTTTGTGACTGGCTTATTTCACTTAGCATAACGTCCTCAAGTTCATCCATGTTACAGCATCTGTTAGAATTTCCTTCCTTGGGGTGCCTGGGTGGCTCAGTCAGGTGAGCGAGCGTCTGCCTTTGGCTCAGGTCATGATCATCAGGATCCTGGGATCGAGCCCCATGGTGGGCTCCCTGCTCAGCGGGGAGTCTGCTTCTTCCTCCTCTGCCTGCCACTCTCCCGCTTGTGCTCTCTCTCTCTCAACAAAAAATCTTAACCAAAAATAAAAAAAGAATTTCCTCCCTTTTTAAGCCTAACAAAATTCCATTGTATGTATACACATTTTATTTACACACTCATCCATCAATGGATGCTTGGGTTGCTTCCACCTCATGGCCACTGAGGATAATGCTATGAAATTGGGTGTACAAATACCTCTTCTCTTAATGGCATCTTTTGAAGTGCAAACGTTTTTAATTTTGGCGAAGTTCAGTCTATCAATTTTTTCTTCTATGTATCAGTGTTGTATTGAAGAACTCTGCCCAACCCAAGGTCATAAAATTTTCCTTCTGTTTTCTTCTAGAAGTTTTAGTTTTACAAACACATTTCAGTTCATGATCCATTTTGAGTTCATTTTTGATTGTGTGCATGACAGATGGACAGGGTGAAGCAGGGATTTCCATTCATTCTTTTGCATGTGGATATCTAATTGTCCCAGCACCATTCCTGTTGAATTATTTTAGCACCCTTGGAAAAATTACTGACCATAAACGTAAGGGTTTACTTCTAGATTCGCAATTCTGTTCCACTGATTTATATGCCTGTCCTTGTGCCTGGACTGATTACAATGCCTTTAGAGTAAGTTCTGATGTCAGAGAGTGTAAATCCACCAATTTTTTCTTCTCTTTCAAAATTGTTTTGGATATTCAAAGTTCTTTACATTTACATCAGCTTGCAGACAATGACAAGCTGATCCTAAAACTTGGAACAAATGCAAAGGCCCTACGTTTTCTGTTATCAAACATTTTTTCCCTTCAAATTCTTTTCAAAACAATATATAATTAAGTAAAGGCTAAACAATGGATTCAAAAGATATGTTTTAACTTTGGGTGCCATTACTAATCCACAAAGCTTTACAACTGGCTTTCACCTTTCTGTTAAGTAACTATTCCCAGCTGAAGTTTGAGCCAGCCTGGTCTTAAAGTTTTGTTGTCTGGTTTAGAGAACCACTTCCAGGAGATAGAGGTAGAGGGCCCTGAGAGGTATGGTCTGTTCCACATGTGGGTGAGAAAGAAGCAGAGTGCTGGTTAATAAGATATTACTGAGAAACCAGTGTTCTTCTTGAGTTGTGGGAGCCAGAGCCAAGTCTTCCTTAATGGAAAAGATAAACATATGACCCATGAAATCCGAAGCTATGAATTACAGTGTCAACCACCCTTTAACTTGCTAACCTTCCCAGACTGATGAATACTCTCTCCAGTTTCATGTGTACAGAAGAGGCCAGCTCTACTATCCAGAGCAAGTTGATTAACTTTTTTTAATCCTCAAATCCCTCAGCTCTAAGATGGGGATTACAAGCTATTTCAGAGTTGTTATCAAGAGTTAAAAAATAGGGCACCTGGGTGGCTCAGTTGGTTAAGCGACTGCCTTCGGCTCAGGTCATGATCCTGGAGTCCCAGGATCCAGGCCCACATCAGGCTCCCTACTCAGCAGGGAGTCTGTTTCTCCCTCTGACCCTCCCCCCTCTCTCATGCTCTCTCTCTCTCTCTCAAATAAATAAAAAGTTAAAAATTAATACAGGAAAAGTTCTTGGCACAAAGGTTAAACAAATAATAACCTTAGAAAGACTGATTTCAAATGTTAAGTGCTATAAGAAAGTAAAACTAAATTCTTCAGAAAAAAATGTTATAGAAATGAAATTTTTAAAATAATGCAGGAAAAAAAAATTTGCCTTTACCTGAAAACAAACTTGTAGCTAGAATATATAAAGAACCATTACAACCCAATAATAAAAAGAGACAAATAAAAATGGTCAAAGGATCTGAATACAATTCTCCAAAGAAAATATAAAAATGGCCAATAAGCACACACAAAAAATACTCAACATCATCAGCCATTAGGGAAATGCAAATGAAAACCATAAGAAGATATCACTTTATACCCACTAGAATGATTATAATGAAAAAGACAGATAATAAGTGTTGGTGAGGATGTGGAAAAATTGGAGCATTCACACACTGCTGGTGGGAAGGATGGCTGCTTTGGAAAACAGTCTGGCAGTTCCTGAAAAGGTTAAACAGAGTTACCATATGACCCAGCAATTCCACTCCTGGGTATATACCCAAGAGAAATAAAAACATGTCCACACAAAAACTTGTACATGAGTACTGATAGCAACATTATGCGTAACAGCCCAAAATGAAAACAGCCTAGATGTCTGTTAATTGATGAATGGGTAATAAATGCGGGATATACATAAAATGCAATATTATTTGGCTATAAAAAGAAATGGAAGTACAGACACATACTACAACAGAGATGAACTTTGAAAACATAATCCTAAGTGAAAGAAACCAGTACAAAGGACCATATATTGTAGGATTCCATTTATATGAAATGTCCAGGATAGGCAAATCTATTAAAATAGTATATTTGTTGGTGTTGGTGGGGGGACATGGGGGCTAATGAGTTTGGGGTTTCTTTTTGACGTGATGAAAATGTTCTAAAATTCACTTGTGGGGATGGTTGCACAGTTCTGCGAATATAATAAAAATCATTGCATTACGTACTTTAAATGGGGGGATGGGAGGGATTGGAGAGCTGGACAGCTAAGGAGTGTGGGTTCTTTTCGAGGTAATGATACTATTCTAAAGTTAATTGTCGTGATGGCTGAACAATTCTGGGAATATACTAAAAAGCTATCAAAAAGTAAACAAAAGGGGCGCCTGGGTGGCTCAGTCGTTCAGCGTCTGCCTTCAGCTAGGGTTGTGATCCCAGGCTCCTGGGATCGAGCCTTGCATCAGACTCCCTGCTCAGGGAGGAACCTGCTTCTCCCTCTCCCACTCCCCCTGTTTGTGTTGCCTCTCTCGCTGTCTCTGTCAAATAAATAAATAAAATCTTTAAAAAAAAAAAGTAAACAAAAATGGGGCGCCTGGGTGGCTTCGTCAGTTGAGCGTCTGCCTTCAGCTCAGGTCATGATCTCGGGGTCTTGGGACAGAGTCCCACATCGGGCTCTCTGCACGCGGGAAGCCTGCTTCTCCCTCTCCCTGCCACTCTCCCTGCTTGTGCACTCTGTCAAATAAATGGGTAAAATCTTAAAAAAAAAAAAAAAAAAGTAAACAAAAATAATGTATTAAATCAAGCTTAAAATCATGGCCTCACTTTTTCATTTAAAGGCTTATGTTTAGGGGTGCCTGGCTGGCTCAGTTGGAAGAGTGTGCAACTCTTGATCTCGGGGTCATGAGTTCAAGTCCCACACTGGGTGTAGAGATTACTTAAATAAATAAATATTTAAAAATTTAAAAATAGGCTAATGCTTAATAGCAAATGCTATAGTTATACTTCACAGAATTCATTTTAATGGAGAGAAAAGTGTAGATATATTTATTAGCAAAATTAGAGTAAGGAAACAAGTAACCATCAAATTTTCTCTTCAGGCATTTACTGAAATGTCAAGTTTTATTCACCTATAATCAGAAGAAACTGAATCAGAATAAAAACCTAAGAAATATCATATTGCTAAGGAATTTTTCTTTAAATAGCTCCTTTTGATTTATTCAATCAAAATGTGCCATAGCCAAATAACTAAAACCACAGCAATGGAAATTGCTTAAGTTAGTCAAAATGAATGAACAGTATTCTACTGGCAAGTGTTAACGCTCAGATTGGCTGCTAGATATTTTACTGCTATTTGCTAATGGTAGTCTAGGCCTTCTATCGTATTGTTTTGTTTTTACCAACTCTGAAAAATAATTTCAAGTAATATGTTGTTCCTTTAATATTAAAAGGAGCATTTGCTTGCCTACCAAACATAAAACATGGTAAAGACAATAAATGATGGTGAATATTTACTTTAATTGTAAGATTGAACAACTTCTAGCAGTGTAATATATGCCTAGCTTAACAGAACATAAAAAAATATTTCCTATTATCATTTTTATAAATGTAAACATATTAAAAACTGCCTAAGGGGTACCTGACTCAGTTGGTGGAGCATGTGACTCTTGATCTTGGGACTGTGAGTCTGAGCCCCACACTGGGTGTAGAGCATACTTTATTTTATTTTTTATTTTATTTTTTTTGAAGATTTTATTTATTTATTTGAGACAGAATGAGAGAGAGAGAGAGCACATGAGAGGGGGTAGGGTCAGAGGGAGAAGCAGGCTCCCCGCCGAGCAGGGAGCCCAATGCGGGACTCGATCCCGGGACTCCAGGATCATGACCTGAGCCGAAGGCAGTCGCTTAACCAACTGAGCCACCCAGGCGCCCTAGAGCATACTTTAATAATAATAATAATAATAATAATAATAATGCAATCCAAGATGGTTATGTTACTGGATGCTAAGATGATGAAAGAATGTCAATTATTAGTTTATATTGGTCCCAGAAAAAGAAATTATTATTCTGACATTAGGAGGGGCAATACCTGGGTTTTCCTTCAAAAACAAAACAACAACAACAACACACACACACAAACACAGAGATACTCAAGAGCACATGAGATGATCAGGAGTGAAGTAAGTCAAGCAGAGAAAGACAATTATCATATGGTTTCACTCATATGTGGAACATAAGCAATAGCATGGAGGACCATAGGGGAAGGGAGGGAAATCTGAAGGGGGAGAAATCAGAGAGGGAGACAAACCCTGAGAGACTATGGACCCTGGGAAACAATCTGAGTTTCAGAGGGGAGGGGGGTGGGGGGAGGGGGTAACAGGGTGATGGGTATTGAGGAGGGCATGTGCTGTGATGAGCACTGGGTGTTATACATAACTGATGAATTGTTGAACACTGCATCAAAAACTAAAGATGTACTATACAGTGGCTAACTGAACATAATTAAAAAAAAAAAGGAGAGAGCACTCAATCACAAAGGCAGTCATGAAATAGTCATGCTGCCGCTATGCTCAACAGCTATATTACTTCTTTCTTTTGGCTGCAGGCACCCTTGAGAAAAGAGAGGAACAGAAGAGGCAACCTAATTACGGTGGTAACTTTGCAGGCAGAGAATGTATCAGCAAAGACAAGCTCAAACCCGGCTGTCAGATGAGGCAACTATGTCTAGTTTCCCTGGAGTGTGAAAGTCACAGGCTGTGGCTGGCTCTAACATCTGGAAAACTCAGCCAAGCACCAAAGTCAAGGATATGCCCCGGTTCTGACCCAGTTAAAAGAGTAAGGCTGAGCTGTAAGAAGTGTTCTGCTCAAGCTGAAGGATAATGTCAAGATCATAATAATTAGTAATCAGTAAATAAAGCAGCTAAGAAATCTAGGTGTTTGTTTCTTTAAAACTACTTAATATTTTCAATATAATGTCTTATTCCAGGGCTTCACTTTCGTGAGAAAAAAAAACAAAACACCAAGAATAATTTAGTTGGAAAATGTGTTAATCTCTTAACAAATCACACCTTTAAGACTAACTGAAGAGATGACTGAGCCCTAACCAAGGGGCTCTACTGGCTGATAATGTTCCCAAGAAGCCCCAAGTGCTAACCGAAATCTAAATGCCAACATATCTTAGACATTGAATAAATGCTTGCATTTCTCCCCATAACCTAAATCCCTCTGATTTTCTTTAAAATTCATAAAATACAGTGCTTGCCAGCAAAGGGAATAATATGTAAAAGGCTGAAACATTCAAATCCACAGGTCTCTGCACAGCAAAGAGGAAATACATTAAAGAAATTTTTGTACACAAATATTGCAGTCATGAAGTCTTACTGCAATAATAATTCTGAAAAATATCTTTTACCTTATAAAACAAATGCCAAAATCCAGGCTATAAAGGGCCATTTCCAAAAATGTGAGGGGCAGAATCTGGCCCATTAACAAACTGAACTATGAGAAAAGCAACAACTATAGGTCCCACTAAAAGCTACACTCTGTTATTCAGAATTAGACCGTAACACTCTCCATTCATTTTATTTTTGAAGAGTTTGGTAATGCAGCACATAAAGGAACCTATGACTGCTGAACACAGAGAAATGCACGTACTTTCTTCTGGATCCTCACTGGCAAGGATGTTGCTGGAAAGTTCCGGCACAGCAGCTCGTGTCTCAGTCATAGAATGATGAGGCCCTAGTCGACTGTCCCTCTGGGCTTCCCACTCTTCACTGAAGCCACCATCATCGCTCTCTGTCACAGGGTCTTGGGTCTCACTTTCGGTGCCTTCAAGAGAAAGTGGAAAATACAATTTCTTAATACCTTTAAGAAAACTACATGGAAACGGTAACTACCCAACTGTCACGTAACTAAGTTAGTTGGCTCTTAAACCACAAATAAGCTGTAAAAATGCCTGAAGTTTGCTTCACTAATAACTATTTCCCTCCTTGTTTCCTGAGGGCAGAGTCCTGATTTGTTTGGGTTACCACCTCTCATGCATGTGACACTGGCGGTGAACCATGATCAAGCCGAGCCAAGCAAGGTAATCTCATTCCTCTTCCCAATGAAAGCTCTAAGGGTGGGGCTGATACTAGCCAATGTGTGGTGAGGCAAAGCCTGCTCTGAATTTGGGGGAAAGTTTTCTCACTCTTTGAGACTCAAGGACGAAACAAACAGCCCCTTTCTAACTCTGGATGATGTCTCATCTGGATGTAATGCCTGGAACTACAGTTGTCATCTTCTGACCACGAGAAGCAGCGGGCTGAGGACCAAACCCATATCTAAGAATGGGAGAACAGGAAGATGGAAAGAACCTGGGCCCTTGATGACATCAATGGATCATAAAACTGACCAACTCTACAAATGCCTGCACCTCAGGGCTTCTGGTCACATGAGAGAACATAATCTTCTTTGTTTAAAGCAACTGAGTTGGGTTTTCTGATCTCGGCAGCTGAAAGCCTAACTGATGACACTCACCTGTGGCTTTAGTGACTAAGATAAAAAGTAGACCATTATTGTGGGGTGGGGTAGGAAAGGGGGGGTGAATTTTTTTATGGGTCAGTCATTTTGTTATAATGACTATCAATCAGACTGAAAATTGTGAGCATAACATGATAGTCTTGAGAAACGTCCATACATCAAAGATAATTAGAACACGTAAGTGAAGTTGATAACTTTTTTTCTCCTTGTTATATTTAATAAAAGTAAAACATGTTCACAGAGGTGGATTTACCATGAAGATACACTTCAGGCCTCTCACTTACATGGAATTCTTCAGGGAGGCCACAGCAATTCTGTATTTGTAACTTGTATTCTTTTTCTTAACCAAGTCCTCAACAAATCCTGAATCTTCCATGGTTTGGAGTTTACAAAATCATATAAGCCTAAGATTTATAAATAAAAACAGCAGTCCCTGCTCTGACGCATACCTCCTCACTCCTACCTGTGAACCTTTCAAGCCACCCCTTTTGGAACCCTGTGTCTTTCTGTTCCAATCTAACTTCTAGGTCTTTTAACACAGAGTTTTTTAGCTAGTGGGTAGCACCTCCCTTCCAGGGGGTTTTGGAAATATTTAGGATGGAGGGCTTTCTGCCTACTGCAATACCTCGAAGCCACTATTAGCATTTAGTGAGTGAGGGGCCAGATGTGCTAAAAAACCTGCAACGAGGGGAAGCCCCACACAATGAAGAACTGCCCACCCAAAATATCATAGCACTCCCACTGAGGAACTCTGTAAGTTCACCTAGCTCCTTCTAATTTCAAGGCTCTTTCCCGTTGTTTCCTCTTCTGGAAAGTTCTACTTGTCAGCTGGTTGTCACCTATTATCACTTCCTCAGGGAAGCCTTCCTGACTTTCCAGAATAAATGATATTCCTCTACTATAAACTTTCATAGCAACCATACTTCTCCTTTGTAGTGCTTATCACAACTGTATGAATTATTTATGGAATTATTTATTGAACATTTGTGTCTATCCAAATAAGTTATAAGCTCCAAAGGGACAGGATATCTTGTTCAGTGCTACATTCCCAGTGCCTAGTAAAATACCAGGCGCACAGTTAGGCGCTCAATCAGTATTTGTCAAGGGGCGCCTGGGTGGCTCAGACGGTTAAGCATCTGCTTTCGGCTCAGTTCATGGATCTCCAGGTCCTGGGATCAAGCCCCACGTTGGGCTCCCTACTCATTGGAGAGTCTGCTTCTCCCTCTCCCTCTGCCTTCCCTCCTGCTCATGTTTTTTTTTTCTTTCTCTCTGTATCTCTGTCTCAAATGAATAAATAAAAATCTTAAAAATATTTGTCAAAAGAATAAAATCTTTTTCACCAGACTCATATATATATACTCATAGACAACTCATCTTTTAATCGTCTTTAGCTTAACACAGATCAACACAATAGCCAGACTTATAGCAATTGTTTCCAATATATTTCCTTCTTCTCCACCAGGTCTCCTACTGGTTCTGCTGCCTTGCTCACTGCAGAATTTCCAGTTAAAAGTGTGCTCTTTGCTGTTACCCCAAATTCTAACTCACCGGATTTCATGGCTCTTTAAACCTAAACTTTCCTTTTCCCGATAGACAGTAACCCAATTAAGGCCCTTTTTTCTTCCCTCACCAATCTTTGCCTATTTCTCAGCTTCCTCTAAGGTTAGCTCTTTGTTTTCTTTTAAAGTTTCCTTTCTTCTTGGGGCACCTGGGTGGCTCAGTCCTTAAGCGTCTGCCTTCGGCTCGGGTCATGGTCCCAGGGTCCTGGGATCAAGCCCCACATCGGGCTCCCCGCTCAGCAGGAAGCCTGCTTCTCCCTCTCCTACTCCCCCTGCTTGTGTTCCCTCTCTCGCTGTGTCTCTCTCTGTCAAATAAATAAATAAAATCTTTTAAAAAATAAAGTTTCCTTTCTTTTGACTATTTTTAGTGTGCCATTATTCCAATTCTAACAACTCCTAACTTCTGTTCGCCTTAACATCTTCTGTGTATCCACAAGAGGGCTTTCAATCTCCCAGCCTGGATCATCAGTTTTATCCTCCTCCAGAAAGTCATGTCCACCTGGAATATTTTATCTTCTTGGCATAAACATGATCGCATCTCAAGTCAAATTATATTTAAGTTACGCTGGCCATATCAGACAAGAGGCTCTCATTTTTACACGTTTGGAGAGCAAGATTATTTTTTCTTTTTTAAATCACAGCCTCAACTTGAACCTTTCCATACTGGTATTAATGGTATTTAATGGCAGAAATTCTTCACCTAGGTCTCTTGGCTGTATGGTTGGGTTTAGAGCACCTGAATTTCTTAAATATTTATCTGTATTTACTGGGTATTACCACAGCTTCCAGGAGATTCTCAGGAGTCCATGACCAAAGACAGAGGTTAAAATCACTGCTTCATAGCTCACTGTTAGCCAATATAACAGGACAATGACCCGGAAAAACCAGGAAATTACCAAATAAAAGACACCTACTTTGTGCATTATAATTGGAGTTTTTGGATACCTTCCTTTGGGCTTCTGGATCTCCTTCTGCCATATTCACCAGCCACACCATTGTTGCTATTGAGAAAGACAAAAATCCAGGTAAGAACTTGAAACACAGAAAGTACATGAATAGAGAACAGGCCATTATCTTTCTACAGAAATCACCAATCTTCTTAATGTTGCCTTAAGAATCCTTAACAATCAGAAGTAAATGCATATTTAAAACCACAAAAGACTTTCTTTGATTTTGGCAGATTAAAGAAAAAATTCTTTTTTTTTTTTTATACGTTTTATTTATTTATTTGACAGAGACATAGTCAGAGAGGAACACAAGCAGGGGGAGCGGGAGAGGGAGAAGCAGGCTCCCCACCAAGCAGGGAGCCCGATGCGGGGCTCAATCCCAGGACCCTGGGATCACGACCGGAGCCGAAGGGAGACGCTTAACTGAGCCACCTAGGCGCCCCTAAAGAAAAAATTCTAAAACTGAGCATTTACTCTAGCTTTCAAACTACAGCTGCTATTGTAAAACCATAAATTTCATCATTTCCAGTCCCTGAAAAGTAACCATAGGGAAAACTGTTCAGGCCAGCAAGACCCTACTGAAAAAAACAGCTGGACTAGTTGAATATCCTAAAATAATGTGAAATCACTGATGAAAAACACTGATGAAAATTACTTATTGGAACTAAATTAGAGAACAAACCAGGACTCTCTAAAGTTGCACATAATCATTATGATTCTAAGGATGCCTGACCTCTGGGATATTCAATAATGCTAAACTGTGATATACAAGGAATAAAAAAAGGTTAAAAGCAATAAACATAAAGGGGATAGTCAACTGGCCTATTCTATGTCCCTTCCACAAAAATACATATATAATCCATATAGATCTAAATATATAACACATACATCTCTGTCACATTTTAAAGGACAACATGCATACATTAAAATGGTGCTTCTCATATACTGCAGGTGGGATGAAAAATGGAATAGCCCCTATATAGCCCCAGATTGAAGGGGAATTTGGTAACATCTAACAAAACTACATATGCCATTACTCAGCCATAAAAAAGAATGAAGTTGGGGCACCTGGGTGGCTCAGTCTGTTAAGCATCCAACTCTTGATTTCGGCTCAGGGTATGATCTCGGGGTTGTGGGATCCAGCCCCACGTTGGGCTCCGCACTCAGCGCAGTCTGCTTGTCCCTCCCTCCCACCCCACCCCCTCCTGCTGCTAGCTCATTCTCTTTCTAGCTCTAAAATAAGTAAAATCTTAAAAAAAAATGAAATCTTGCCATTTGCAACATGGATGGACCTACATGTTTATGCTATTATGCTAAAACAAATGAATAAATAAGACAAAACAGAAGCAAACTCATAAATACAGAGAAGAAACGTGGTTGCCAGAGTGGAGGGGGGATGGGCAAAATAGGTGAAGGGGATTAAGAGCTACAAACTTCCAGTTGTAAAATAAGTCATGGATGTAAAGTACAGCAAGGGAAGGAATATAGTCAATAATATTATAATAACTTTGTAAGGTAACAGATGGTTAACTATGCTTACCATGGTGCACATTTCATAACGTATGTAAATAACGAATCACTATGCTGTACGTGTGAAACTACTGTAAGACTGTATGTCAACTATACTGATTAACAAAAAACTACCTGTGCACTAACTCTTTGACCCAGGAATACCACTTCTGGGAATTTATACCGAAAATACACCAACAATAATACAAAAATACATATAAACAGGGAGCCTGCTTCTCCCTCTCCCTCTGCCCCCCACTCATTCTCTTTCTCGCTCTCAAATAAACTTTAAAAAATAAAAAAATAAAAAACACAAAGTACAATTAAAACTCTACAAGTGGAAAAAGGTATAAAGAAAAATATAAAAGTTACCTCTGTCTTTAAATCCACTTCCCAGGGGTAAACACTATTAGCCTTTTGTCAGTTTTTTAAATGTATCATCGGGATTGTATATACACATACATCCAAATCCAAATATAGCTCCCTTCTTCCCATAGGATATTGCATTATTGCTTAAATCTTGCTTTCTTCTGCTTTTTTAAAAGATTTTATTCATTTATTTGAGAGAGAGAGAGCACACAAACGGAGGTGGGGAGGGGCAGAGGGAGAGGGAGAAGCAGACTCCCCAGTGAGCAGGAAACCTGACACAGGGCTTGATCCCAGGACCGTGAGATCATGACCTAAGCCAAAGGCAGATGCTTAACCAACTGAGCCACCTAGTCATCCCTAAATCTTGCTTTCTGTATTTAGTATATAATCTTTAACATTGAAAAAAACAATTGGACATATACAGAGCTACCTCATTCTTTCTAATGGCTGTATAATTATCTATTGTATGAATGTACCATAATTATTTGAAAGTGTTCCCTTTGGATACTTAAGTTACTTCCACCCAGCATTCACTATCAACATTTGGCAGGACATTCTGTATGCACAAATATAAAATACATAGTCGATTTTAATTTCCAGGAATAACACATAAGAAGCTCACATCCAAATGTTGATTAAGAGGAAAATGTTGATGTTCAAAACTTCACCTGCTCTTTTCTGCCAAAAAACACAGGAAGCACATGATAATAAATTTATATTGGAAAAAGAGCAAAACAAAGATCCTCGCATTCCAGACAATGAGTTTTCTGACATTTGACCAGATTTCACCACATAACAAGCACAGTCCTCATCTCTCCACTTCCCCCAAATGATATCACACTGAGTTCACAAGAAAGATGAAGGTCAACTACAACGTGCTCCCAACTTTACCTCTCTTTCACTATGTCTCACTACCTTCTGGCTTTTCTCTCTTCCTTTTCCTTCCTTCCAAGTCTTTCCCTGTTCTCTTCTAATTCCTCTTCCTGAACTCTCAGAGCAATTTCTACCTGCTTTGTTGATAACCTTGCTCCATTAATCATTCCTTCTGGCTGGTCTCTTCAAAGGCTTTCTCCACTTGGCTCCTTCCCCTCAACCTTAGAAACACAATTACATCTTCTATCTCCTGGAAACACCTTTCCTCAGGCCTGCTGTCCCCTCAGGTCACCATTGCTCTGCCTGTGGACAGGAGTCTCTGTAGTAGGTGATGTTTACTGTACCTCTCCTCCCTCACCACCCATTCTCTGGCTACACCGTAACTTCTACCGCCAGCAACAGCAAAACACGGACACACTGCCCTCCCTTTGGAGCACTGCTTCTGGCCCTACCACTCTACTGAAATTGTTCTCTTAAATGTCACTGAAGATGTCCCAAGGCACCAAATTCTATATGGTTTACTTAGTCCTCATCTTTGGCTTCTTTTAGAGCATTTGATGTTCCTTCCTTCTGGAAACTCTGTTTTTCCAATAACCCAATAGAAAAATAGGCCAAAAAAAAAAAAAAGTCTACAAGGATATATCAAACTGGTAACAGGGGTAACTGCTTGGTAAGGTATTAAGATTACGGATGACAGTTTTGTTTTGTTTTGTTTTGTTTTATTTAACAAAGAGAGAGACACAGCGAGAGAGGGAACACAGCAGGGGGAGTGGGAGAGGGAGAGGGAGAAGCAGACTCCCGCTGAGCAGGGAGCCCGATGTGGGGCTCGATCCCAGGACCCTGAGATCATGACCTGAGCCAAAGGCAGACGCTTAACAACTGAGCCACCCAGGCACTCCTAGGGATGCCAGTTATAGTGAAATTCAGCTTTATCTACAATATTTAATTTTTTCCAGCATAATATATTAATGTATTACTTGTGCAATTGAAAATTTTGAAAATATGGAAAAGAATATTATACCCAGTCACAAAACAAGAAATGTAAGTATATAGCTACGAAAAACATGAAAAAAAAGTCCAAATAATCACTAATAGTTATTAGTTAATAAGCCAAGATCAAAATAAAACAAGAGGTTATTTTTTGCCTCTTAGTTTCACACACATGTAAAAATGAAGGTATAAGGAAACTGGTACCTCACACTACTAAAGGAAATATAAACGGGTATAGCCTTTTTAGGAGGCAATTTGGATCCATCAAAATTTAAAAGCATACACGCTTTGACTTAGCAGTTCCATTTTTAAAATTGTATCATACAAAAAATTTCACAAAGATGGATGATCTCTACAAGCACTCTTTGTGACAGAAAAGAAATGGAAATGATCTAAAGGTCTATCAACCAGGACACCCTTCTCTGAGTATCTATATAGAGAATACTATGCAGCCACTTCCCATGCTGACATGGAAAACATGTCCTGATATTGTTAAGTGAAAAATCCTGACTATCCCAATTTTCTTCTCTTCCCTTTACTGTTGTTTCTCTTCATTTTCTCATTCTCTAAACACAGGAGTTGACAAAGTTCTCTCCTTGACATCCTCTTCTCATCCACTTTTGTTGAACCAGTCATCCACTTCTGAAGTCTCAACCACCTCTGCTACGCTTTCTTTTTTTTTTTTTTTTAAAGATTTTATTTATTTATTTGACAGAGAGAGAGATAGCGAGAGCAGGAACAGAAGCAGGGGGAG